CACATGCCCTGTGCCCATCTTTTAACTGGATATGTCATTTGGGTATCTTGGATAGATGTCTTTATAATAGATATATTCTTGTGTAGATTTTTTTCTTCTGCATTACTGTAGAACAGTTATGCACATAATGCTTGCCTTCAGCTATACTGAAAATTTGGGTATATTGGCCATACAGTAGATTTTGCATACTGGCATTTTGAAGGGGGAGGGATATATACAGTATATATATATTTTTTCTTTCCTTCTTTCATTTTTTCTTTTTTTTATACATAGGTTTGCTAATACATATAAGTAAGAGTAATCATATCCCTTCACATTCCAGATGAATCACGGTGCAGTGCCTCACCAGAGCAAAGAGTACATGATTGTATCGGGACTCTACAAGAAGCCACTTGGAAAAAGAACCTACAAAAAACTACGTAAATGTGGGGCCAAACAGGGTGATACTCTGTCTGAATTCATGGACTCGCTGGTGAACGGATACGAAAATCATGAGGAGGAGAATGATGACAGTGTGCACAGTACCCATGATTCAAGCCCTGCAGACCAAAGCAGAGAGGACGCACAAGAAGAGAATGACCATTTTTGTCAATTGGATGAGGAATCTGAAGTTTCGCAGTTTGATTATACCCCTTCAGATGGGAAGCTCATGTCTTATGATGAGATCAGATGATACAGTGTCTGTCAGATAGGGCATATCTTTGGTATAATTCCTTTGTGAAGTATATAGGTGACATCTACATGTTAAATGCTAGAGCAAGTTGTGAGTTTGGCAGATTGTTAAAGGTTGTGCTTTTTGCTTCAAAGGATAGTCTGCCAAAATTAAGCAAAGATGAGTGTGAATTTCTCTTGTGTGGAAACAGTTTAGTTTTCCAGTTTTCATAGTCATAGACAATTTGGATCTCGCTTAACTATAGGCTATAACGAATGTATTGTGGCCATGTGTAAACAGTGAATAAACAATATGGAAGAAATGAATTCTTTTAGAGCTGAAAATCATGTCATAAGTTGCAGGAAATTTGATTGATGTCAGTACATGGAAAATAATAATATTCTCAGAGATATAGCATTTCTCATAAGAAAGAAATATAAACTTGCATTGGGTCTTGAGCAAGTATTCATGCTTTCATAGTATGTGGATTTATTATCTGAGTGATCAAGACAGTGGAAGAAACATCAAGTGTAGGAATGCTTAACCCAGTGCTCCCGGGAAAATGTTGTGGTCACTATAGTATTGTGAAATGTCTCTTCACATAGATGGCTCTGCCAGCGCTTAGCCTCAAAGGAGTCAGTTAGTAGACCTTGTGACCTCAACTGTTTTCACCTTTCCTTGAGTTTGTGGGGATTTTTTTTTTTTTACTAATGCTTTCAATATTGATACTGTTAATTTTATCACAAAAATCGCAAGTACTGTAGTTTTTACTAACAGCAATATTGAACACCAAAATATATTATCAAAAATCAAGGAAAAGGGTGAATAAGTGAGATTGCTAGTTCTTTTAATTAGCTCATTGGTAACAGAGTACTTGTGGAGCCATCTATGTGTAAAAACAGTTACTAAATGAAACACACAGTGGGCATGGCATGTACGCACATGCCAATCCTGACGGTATATGGTTAATGAAAGAAATTGACAGTTAAGTCTAGTATTGCCCAGCTCAACACTGATAATAGATTGAGTATTTTGTTTATCATTTAGTTTTTTTGCAAAGAATTTCCACTTTATATTCTGTTTATCTAATTATTAACAAAAATGCTAACCAAACTGAAATACATTAAGAAGAGTTATAGAAGGGAGTTTCTTGAAACTAATATTTTTCTGTTAATGTTACTATCATCATTATTATTTTTATTAGTGTTAATATTATTATTATCATTATTATCATTATTACTACTTTAGTTATTGTTATTATTATCATTATTATTTAATGTTATTTTTATTGTTTATATATGATATTGTTATCATTTATCTTTTATTATCAATTCTGTTTGAACTCGCTGTTAATAGTGATATTCCAAGTACTGTTCTTTGTAAAATCCCTTTATTATGATCTTTGTGGCTGTGTACCAAATTAGATGGCAAATATATAAATGCAACCTAAGTTTAGTGTTGCTCATTACCTATTCTTATGGAAAGTATGTATGAAAGTAGAAGTTTTTTCATTATGCCTTTATTGATTTCATCTGCAGTCATTTTGTGTGTAATGCCACATCACTGGAATATTTTGTTTCTAAGTCTTTTGATATGCTGTTGTATCTTAATTGATAAGTATAGGTATGAAAACAAGTTTGATAATCTATGTCATGATATTAGGACTCTTGAGATATGTCTGCAACTTATAATAAGAACTATGCAATACCTCCTCTTCATAAGGTCTGTGACTTTGAAAGAGAGGAGTATGAAGCAGCCAATTTTACAACAAAATTGAGGTTAAGAAGAATATACTACTGTAATAGTATCCAGTAAATTCTGCTTTTCAATACCTAAATACCATATCTGATTTTTACATCCCATCACAGTGCTGAAGCTTTGGGAATATTAGTGTTTTACCACTCAGAATAACAAGAGTATAACAAAGAATCATAATGTTAACTTCTCACTATTTCTGCAAGGATGGGATGCTAAGCAAGGTAGATGTGAAATGAGAATACTGACACGTAATTAGTAGAAGCTATTTTTTACTATAGATGGTAAAGGTATGGTCATAACAACCAAAAAAGTAAAAAGTGAAAAAAATACAAAAAGGAATCTCTGTACTAACACAGCATTTACTTTTGATTGTTTATATATATTTGCTTGCAAGTTTAACAACATACACCAAATAAAAAAAAAGAGCTTATGAGGAAATGTATTGACATCTTTAAAGGTTATATGTTGTAATGTAGCTGATAGATTATTGTTGAAAAAGACTATCAAGTTACCACTGCCAGTTTATACATAACTAGAAAAGCATAGATATGTTTTATGTTTAATGATTATAGAGGATTACCAACATAAGTACAGTGATGCATAAATTGTTACATTTGATGGAAATAATAGTCTTGCAATTACCAGAAATAAACATTGGTATTAACATTGTTGATAGATGGCCATATAATGTACTGGCATTTAGCAATACATCTGCATTGAATATTTAGTAAATAGAAGTATCTTTATAAATACATCTGTTTTTGGTCTTAGTTGATAACAATAATACTTCTCTTTTTTTTCAATTCTAAATTGATTATTCAGTTACCTTCCTCTTGTATGTTTTTGCATATACTGTATAGTACTGAGGAGTTTGAACAGTGATATCCTGTAAATATTTCTGTCCTATTAAATCTCAATTTTACTTTCTTTCAGTCTTATGGTAGATATTCTAGGGCAGAAATGATTGGTTTGAGATTTTGCCCTTTTGTTGTAGTTGAGGGTACACACTTTTGTACATCATATTATGTACATCGTATTATGTTTGGGATCTAAGCTTCCATATTTTTATTATCCCTTTTTCTGTTATTTTTTATTTCTCATTTGTACAACTTTAAATGTACCAACAAAGTAATGAGAGGCACACGCATGCACGCACCATGCACGCAGCTCTCTCTCTCTCTCTCTCTCTCTCACTCTCTCTCTCTCTCTCTCTCTCTCTCTCTCTCTCTCTCTCTCTCTCTCTCTCTCTCTCTCTCTCTCTCTCTCTCTCTCTCTCTCTCTCACACACAACACACACACACACACACCACACACACACACACACACACACACACACACACACACACACACACACACACACACACACACACACACACACACACCTATTTATATAGCTTTTTCACTAGTATCAATCTTTAGTTTGCTCCTGTGAATCACTGTATTACTCTTATCCATTGTCAGTCAATTGTTTATGAATGCTTCAAAAGAAGAGATTTTGGTATTATTAATTTTTTGGCATTTTTTAATACAAGGAAGTTTATTTAATTTGTGTTATATATGCAGTTGCTACAGCTTTTTCTGTTCCTTTTCACCATTGCAATCACAGGATGTGATGTTTATTGCTTTGAAGTCTTCAAGTGGCTCTGTAGTTTTTGCAAATAGCCTACTCAAGAAAAGAATAAGGTTCCCCATTTATTTTCTTTTATTCTTTGTACTTATGGTTGTGCCATCTTTTGACAAAACATTTCCCCTTTATCTTCCTTTTGCATATTTTTTAGGGTCTTCCCTGTCCAGATGTCTGTATTTCTGTTTATACTTGACAATTTGGTATTGAAAATATCAAAATTTGAATTGGTTTGTATTGTCTGAATACCCTTTATAAGACTGTATGGGACCTATTAGACCAATAAGTTTTTTCTTTTTTTTTGGGGGGGGGGCACATAGAGACGGGAGATGGTACTGTTAATCTGGGATTTAAGTGCTTTGCCAAGAGTTTTAGATTCTTTTCCCTCATTACAAAACTATTCTCCTCTCTCACCTGCCTCCGCCTCTCTAATCTCCACTCCCATCACCTCTCCCGCCCTCGCTCGCCCTTTCTGCTCCTCCTCTGGGCCTCTCTCCCCCCTCCCTCTCTCTCTGCTCTCATCAACTCGACGGCATCGTCATGTTCCCTCTCTCTCGCGCATTCACCGAGACAGAGCGGCAAACGAGCCGCGGATACCATCGCCTCTCTTCCATCTCCTCTATCCTCTCTCTCCTCGTCTCTCTCCTCCCTCTCTCCTCTCTCTCTTCTCATCCTATCTCTTCCTCCTCTCTTCTCTCTCACGTCCTCGCTCGTCTTGCCCGTACGATCCGACGTCTCTCTCCGCTCGCTCTTCAGTTCTCCTCACCGCCCCCTCATCCTCTCTCTCTCTCTCTCTCTAACGTTTCCCTCTAACTTCTCTCCTCGCTCCTCCTCTTCGTAACTCTCCTCTCTCCTCTCTCTATATAACAATCATCTCTCTCTCTTTCTCTCTCCTCCTCTCTCTTAACCCCTCTATCTCCCTCTCTAACCATTCTCCCCACCTAAAAAACTCTCTAAACTCGTCGA